TTGACGTATTATGGAGGCTAAAAAGCTGAGGAGTAGTTACCAAAGGTTGGAAATTGGTTCCGGACGTCAGGCGTGAAAGCTGATAAAGTTACTTTAATGTCTCCGCAGTAGCGCCGTGACGTCAATGTGGTGCGAAGGAGTTTATGTCCAATTTAGCATTGATCAGCCACGATAATTTGACTTGAACAAATAGGCTGATTTGCTTACTCTGACCTCCGAATCTCAGGAAATTTATCCTGTGTTTATGTTCCCGTAGAACTTCTCAGAGATCTTTCACTGTGTGAGGCTGCTACACATCTGTGTTTCAATCAATCCTCATTTTTTCCCCTTAATCTAGTTTTTGCCTTTTCATGTTGGTGACTTTACGTAAACATCTAAATTGGTTATTTTCTGTTCTGTCTGATTTGATTATATTACAGTTAGCTTGCAGGTAATAGTTAAATAACTTGAGTGTGTATGTACAGCGGGCAGTGGTGGCTGAATCATATTCTAGATGGCAAATGTAATATTTTTATTACTCCTATAGTATTTACACTGCCAGTTTTTATTAAGACAAATTATCATCATTTCTGTACAGCTGGATGGCATGTGGGGAGTTCACAATTTCAAAGAACTACCCAGACTAACTCAGGCAATTTAGATGTCAATAAAAAATTCGTTGCTTATTTCTAGTTTTATCGTTGGTTGTAATTTATACTGAGAACTGAAATGTTAACACATGTAGCTGAGTTTATTTTAATTGTATAATTAGAGTAATGAACCTTGTGGAAATACAGTGGTGCAAATGCTAATATAATCTAAGCTGTTTACATTCCCAATTAGGTATTTAAAACAAATAAAAGATTGAGCTCTGTGCTTTGATACTGTTTCCTTTCTGTCCCCATGTCAGCTAAAGTTAGTCTAAAACAGTGCATGTACCAAATTTCCATTTTTAATTATTGTTTCGACAGGGTTGCAGACTTGCAGAGCATTTTACAGAGGTTCACGCAGTATTTAATCTCATTCTTGAAGCAGCTGTAGTTTAAAATGTTCATAATGGAAGAATTTATGTTAGAAAACATGTTGACTAACTGACTCGATTAAGCAAATTCGAATGCACCATGTGTTTGTATACTACAGGGTTGTGTTTAAACAAATGTATATACTGACTCTTGTATTTTATACTGGAATAGTTTACAGGCTTTCAAAATTTCTGTTTTCCTAATGTAGGAAATGTAATACTGAAACTGTTGTAGAGCAACATCTCCACTTATCAGGATTAATGGTGGTGCCATATAGCAGGAAAAAAAAATCCAATTAATTTTTAGGTTATTGCATATTTGCAATATCAGGTTTACTCTGTTTATCTCCAGTAACTTCCACAACAAACATTAATTCCCATGATGCCTTTTTTTACAGTCAGATTCTTACATCTAACCATAGTATGCTGAAGAACTACTGCAGGAAATTGATAAGCTTTTGTTACTAATATTTTCAGGAACATACGTTTTCTGCAACTTCTGGGAGAGTTTACTCTGCTACGCAGAACCCTGTTCAGGAAATTGTTTCTGGAACTGTGTCTGAAGGGATCTTTTATATAAAAAACCACAAAAAATTAAAAGGCACTGTGAGGATCCTGGTTCCAAATTTGGCTCAGGCTGTTCATCCAGCCTTGAATCTGTTCTCAGTGACTTCAGCTTTCTATGCCTCGGTTAACCTAGCTCTAACATTTGTTAAAAAGTGAAATCCTCATGAGCACCATATGTTGTGTGTGAGATGAGCAATCTTGCATTAGTAGAACTTGTAGCCTTTGTTTAATGAGATTATTTGCAATTTTAAGTGGTAGTTTATTCATGTCTTACGTTATTTCACTGTTGGTTAGGATCAGTAATATTTTTACTAGATTTGAGAGCTTAAGTGAAGTAAATTTAAGAAATGACAAACTATACATAAAGATGCATCCTGCGTTAATAATTTAATATAATTTCAGATTGCAAAACAGTAGAGAGCAGTTTTTCAAGAAAAATGCTGTGCGGAAACCATTGATAGACAAATTACTCTGTAATCATAAGTATGTGGAGACACTGGGATGAAATAATCATCTTATTTTGCATAGTGTATTATCATGGTGTTAACTTGGAGTATTGTTCTTTGTGTGGAATATGTTTTGATATTTAATATATTAGTATTTTTGTATTTTTGAGATTTAACTGTGTAAACAAAACACCTGCTGCAGTTACTGTGTATGCTCTCGTGCAAGCATTGCACGCACATCCAAATGCTGCGTTGTCTTTGGGCATTACAGAGGAGCACACCTGCATCAAAGTTGCCATGAAGTGAAAGCAAAGGAAGAGTAGACACAATTTTTTCCTCTCTCCCTCAAATATTTTGGTGGTTTTCTCTTAAATGTAGCATTCTCAACTTTACATTTGCTTGCTCATCTCTTCCACTTTTAGTGACATCCTCTTTAGTACCTTCACTTCGGGGCTCAAAGACATTGTCTCCCCAGAGAAATTCAACAACTTACAAGTGGAAAAGTCACCAACTTGTTTTCTAACCATGGTTTTATGTGTATCAAAACTACAATTCTGAGAAAAGTAGCCTAGTGAAGGCATACAAGTCTTTTTCCTTTCCTTAGAGAAATAAAAATATTTTATCATTAACACTCATAAATTTTATTTTAGTGTTTTTTAGAACTAACAAACATATTCTATTAAATTGTTTCTATAATTATTTATGACTTTTAAAGAAGTCTGAGACTGTGTTCAAGGCTTATTTTAGAGAATAGAAGTAAAAAGGGATTGAGTCAGTATTTTGTAAGTTTATTTTCTTTCCTGTGACAAATGCCTTCATAATTAATCAGCAAATTTTAGTACAATAAATGCAGCACAACATGGTCATTAAGTTAGTGGTTGACTGTTGTAGACTTCAGAAATTTTTTTCCATGCGAACTACTAGAGGATTGTGGGAAATACAAACAGGAAACCACGTTGAATATCTAGATAGTACTTCCCAGATCATGTCCTAAAACATGTTTCACTAGCTCGGCCATCAGAAAAAAACAGGGAAGAATTGTTTTTGCTTCAGGAAAAAAAGCAAGAAGTTTTTATTTTCCTTTTTCTTGGGAGATGCTGAGTTGTTGGAAGGAATCGACAAAAGGTGGAAATTTCCAAACTCAAAGCATATCAACTTGGGGTGGGGACGGATAGGACTAGGTGCACTCTAGTATCTCTTGTGTTTTTCAAGACCTTTTTTTCTGAGATACTTGTATTCTGGAGAAGGGATACTTTAGCTTTATGGAATCTTTCTGGTCCGTGTGCTCCCCAGCGTTACTGCCCAGAGCCAGGTTGCTGGCTGCAGCCACTGCACTCACGGCAAGCCCCATCTCAGTCCGCAGCCGCACCTGGGCGGCTCGTCGGGAACCGGCTCAGGGTGCACAAGGTTTCCCTCTGATGGGACCCTGCACATGTCAAAGGTGTGGCACATCAGGTGTTTGCAAAATACTCCGTGTCACTTGGAAACAGTAGTATCATTTAAATGTTAATGTCTGACTCAAACTTTGTTTGATGATTTCTGTTGTCAAGACGCTTTATGTTGTTTTTCTCCTCTCAGTCTGTTTACATGTATAGATCCTTTCAACATCATATCTTAATGTCTCTAGGTGGTTCCAAAATGGAAATACTACTAGGATTGTTTCTCTTGCTCCTTCATCTGCCTTGTAGGAGGAAACGTAGGACTGTTCTGTAAAATAAATATCTTATTTGCATATATTTAAATTCCTCATTTCAGAATTTATTATAAAGTGGAAGAAATAAGTTAATTTTGCTTTTCTGACCCATTTGATGAAGTGCTCAAGTGCATATGTAACTTTTGAGCACATGAGACGTCCTTTTAAGAATCATTCACTGCTCATTTACCGTGAGGTATGTGAACTGAAGTGCTGTGATCACTGAAAGTTGTGGGTGGAGGCATGCGTGGTCTTGCAATTCCTGCTACACAACAAAGTATTTTCCACACTGTGCCTTGAAAGGACTTCTGAAAAAGTAGTGCTGTTGACTATGATGATGGAAATTTGACCCACTAATAGGACCTGTGGGATTTCAAAGTAAAGCTGATCCTCTTTAAAAAAATCAAATGCAGTGTCAATGCAAGCATAATCCTGAAAATTGAGTCCTGCTTCAAACCTAGAGTTCAGGTATAGAAGCATCATTGACTTTTCACACTATCCTTCCAGAACCTAGAAATCCATGCTTCAGGATCCGTTTAATAATTTTAGGCTGAATATTTGTTTACCTTTTCTCGCTAAAAATGTCCTTAAGATGACACTATGGGTGAGTACTAGACAGAGGTGCCAACTCTCATTGCGCAGAGGCTATCAGATGGTCATTGTCCTCAGTCATTACTGAACCAATTAATTTAAGATAATATGCTGAATTAAAAATGACATTTAATTTTTTGGTTTCCTCTTTGCTGTTTAGTAAAAAAAGTTAAGGCTTGAAGATAAAAGCATTTGGTTCACCTGAAGTTCCTGAATCATTTATTCATCCCTTCATTATAGGCTGCTTTTCATGCAAGATGATGCCACGTTTCACTTGCTCAGAAGCAGTAGTGATGGCTGTAGTATTCTCTGCTAGTTCAGAAATTCAAATTTTAGGTTGAACCTGTTCAACTTCAATCAACTAGCAGAAATGATGCCGGCTCTCGGATGTGTGGTGCTGCTTGAAGCTTTTACTGCTCAGAAATCTAGGCCTTTTGCCAGAATGGACGTGCTATCATCACACTGCCTGTTCCTTCTTACTTTTAAATTACGTGCTTGATTCACCTAGGGTCTTTGTTTCATGGAGAAGGGATAATAGTTCAGGTAATGCTTATAAATGATTTGAAACTATGGTGTCCTCCTTCAAGGTAAAGATGGCTTAAAATTTAGTTTCTATAGTGATGATGATAAAATACTAGATCAGTAGGATTTTCTGTGCTGTAAGTTGTTTAAACAGTAATAATTTGTAATTTTAATGTTCCAGAACCCTGGGGCTGCTGGTAAAGCGATTGGAGAAGGGTGGAAAAGCTGAACAAGAAAACCTTTTTCGTGAGAATGATTGTATTGTCAGGATTAACGATGGAGACCTTCGGAACAGGAGATTTGAACAGTAAGTGTACTTACCAGACATGACATTGCATCGTTTAATCTTTAACTCTGCACCTTGCGGTAATTTGAGGAAAGCGAGAAAAAGTTGTCAAAGCTCACCTTTCTAATAAAGCAAAGATACACTAAGGGTCATTAGTGGTTTTTAATTAGCCAAACTACAAAAAATTCAGGATAATTATTGTCATTAGAGTATATGCACTTCTCATTCGGTTGTTTTTGCACATTTTAGATTTTTTCTTCTTGCATTGGTAAACTGTTTAACCTGAAATTCCGATATAGCTTTTGCTCTTATCCTTGCAATGCATCACATTCAATATAAGTAGACAGCATGGAGACTTTGTTTTTAACATTTTAAAAGTATTTGTGGTTTTGTATGTGTGAGAACTATAAGTCCTATGTGCAGAAACCTTCCTGGAGAAGTTTGAGAGATCAGAAATATTTGCTCAGTGGGTGCCTGGGCTTGGTGGAATCCCGAAATGGTGAATCAGAAAGACTTTTAAGAGTGAAATCAGGTTGTAGTTCACACACAGCTAATTGAAAGAGAAAGTGGAGGAGAGGTATGCAGAAAATGAGCACTTTCAAGGATGATGATGTTGTTCTGAAAACTCTAACCTGTTGAGGGCCAAAGGAATATCATTTGTTCTGATTGTCCTGTACTTAACACACATTTGAAATGTGTTTTTTATTTCTTTGACTCTGACCTGGATTGGAACACGACCCTGTGCTGTATGGTTGAAAGCAGCTTGTCTCTGCTTGTTCTGTGCTCCCGAATCATGATTTGTTAAGTCTGTGAAGAAACTTGTTGACTTTGTGTACTTTGAATGTGACCTAGAGCCCAATGTCTGTCTGTGCAGGATTAAGCATTTTTTCCCTATTTCTTAATGTTATATTCTGAAAGACTAGTAACTTATGAAAACTAAAATGTAAATTATTTTTTTTGCAAGACTGCATATACTGTCAGAAAATTATGGAAATACATAGTCTTTGTATAAAGTGTAATTTTCATTCTTAATAATTCTGTTGTCACTGTGATTACTGTTATCACAATTATCACAATTATTAAGGTTCAGAACAGAGGGACAGTGCAGTCCCGCCATAGAACTGTCTGCCTTTCAAGACTGTGGTTAAAATTGTTGCTTTTCCGAATTCAGTATTTGGTACATTAGTTGTTCAGCATATTTAACCATTGTGTTACCCCAAGGCAATAAACCTTAGCAAAAAGCAGGCCAAGTAGTCAAGTGAACAGATTCAAGTTTTACGGCTTATGCTTGAATGCAATGTGTCTGTCAGCTCGTGTTGCTTAATTAACATTAGTAATTGCGCTTATAATGTCTTGTAGTCAGCCAGTCCTAATTTGCTAATTTTCTGTTCATTTTGAAACCTAGAGCACAGCATATGTTTCGCCAAGCCATGCGTACGCCGTTCATTTGGTTCCATGTGGTCCCTGCGGCAAATAAAGAGCAGTACGAACAGTTGTCCCAGAGCGAGAAGAACACGTACTACTCCAGCCGGTTCAGCCCTGATTCCCAGTACGCTGACGGCAAAAGTATTAACAATTCTGGACTTCACACGTTACAGAGAATGTCTCGAGCCGGTAACCAGTCCGATCAGACAGACTCCTACTCGCAGCTACCTCATAGTGTGAATTCATCAGGGAAACCACCCTCGGGCCTGGTACCATCACCTCAGAAAGTTCTCGCCTCCACTGCGAACAGTGGGTATAACACCAAAAAGATAGGGAAGAGGCTCAGTATACAGCTAAGGAAAGGTAAGGCAGTGGTGTGCTCCTCACAGGGTGTGAGGTACGTGTGCAAGGTGTGTGTACGTGCGTCCAGGGCCATGTGTTGGGCAGGACAGCATGCAGGAGCGTGGGGGATGTGATGGGATGGTGTTTGAAGCCGAAGGGCTGAGCTGTCCCGGATAGCACCCGTGGGAGTCCAGCTGCGCATTCGGTGTGTGCAGCCTTTTGGAAAAGGCCATTTTGAAGAGTGCTTTGACATTGTTTTCTGTCTCTCAACTAATAGAGAAGTGCAGTAAGTGCTACAAATTCTGTTGGCCAAGACCCAGGGACTGGTGAACTATTTAATATAAATAAATATGATAAAATGGCCCATATTCTGTATTTACAGTTACTGTGACTTTTCAAATTGAGTAACTGGTTTTGCCGTTAGATTTTAAGAGTGGGTTGGATCCAGTTGGTAAATTGGACTTTCTAATTTCCAGCTAACTGGAAACATTCCACTGGGATGAGAAAGTCTGTATTTAAACGGTTGAGATGCAACATGGTATTACCTATCTTGGCCCTTATGCTAATGTAATTTGAATGGGGGTGAGAGATGATTTAGGGACAGAGGAGAAAGCGGTGCTTGCTTATCTTAACATCTGTGTTAAATCTGCACATGTAGATGTATTGGTACATCTGTAGAAATTTTATGATGTGTTAAATGTCCTAAGTGAGAACATTTGGTATTTTTGTGTAGTTACAATCTAGATGCTATTAAGATAGTTTGAAGTATAATAAAATGACATTTAGATGCAAGTATTTCTTAGCTCTTGGGAAATGATTTTTTTAAAGGAATATACATGCTGTAAGCTTTGTGGTATTAAGATGAGTGTGTTTAAGGTTAGATATTATTTGATCTCTAGCAGCAAGAATAGGGTTTACATTACACAGCAAGAAGTTTACCCATGTGACAGTATTCTCTGTGAACTCAAAGGACGTTCCGCTTAGGGTATGGTATGTGCTTAGTGTTAAAAATTTTTATTAATTAATCCTTTTATCGAAAGGTATCATGGATAATGCATTGAATGGTAGAGATTTTACAGTTTCACAGGCACCAGGCTACTTGTCCCATTATCCTTATGCTTTCCTTTCTATGAACTTCACATGAACCACCAGATTGCTGCTTTCTGCTTGCTGAATTTTAAGCTCTACAAACTTGGATGACATAAGGTTGAGTTGACAGTTTGCTTCTGCTGTTGATGCTCCTTCAAGAAATTCTTTAGGCCATCGCTCAGATCTGCCTGCTTGGAAAAATTTGTTGTTACTGGCTGAGCAAGGAACCACTGTGCTTACAAATATGCTCTCAGTCACTACAGTGATTTTTACCTGTTTTTTTTGTGTTTGTGGAAGCCTGTAGAAATATCACTTGGATATTATTACATAAAAGAATTCATAGCCAGGAGTGGAAATATACATTTCATATAATTTAAAAGCATCAACAAATGAGTATAGAATATGGTAACACAATGTTTTTACACAAACCAAATGTGCCATTATAGCTGCTCATAAGTTACGAGACTGTAATTTTGATGTGTTATGGATTCTTTGACTGTGATACGAGCTTACATGTTGGTCCTCTTGCACTGGATACAGTTTCATAAATACTCTCCCCGCTTCTGCGATGTGACTTAGCCTTGCTGGCACCAATATATGAGGTGATTTTGGAGTGAAGGAGGTGCACGCTACCTGTTGGTGGAGAGTGACCTAGAGGATACTTTAACTTCTAGTTCATACTAGAAAAGTGCTAGTAAAAGCATTGAAATCCGTATCTAGAAAATATTGCAGAAGTTTGGAGGGGATATTTGTTCCTAACAGTTTTCTTATGTGAGAATACTACTTGTGAAGAAATGGCACCTAGCTCAGATTATAGACAGACAGACAGAAACTATTTAGTGTTCTGTATTTTAGGTGTGGTGATATTTAAAAAAAAAAAAAAGTGTGCATAAGGAAGGATACCTTTTTATTGTTGCTGTCTTTCATTTGTGAATATCTACTGTAGAAAGGGGCATATTCTCCAATTTTGGCTTTCATTTGATCACTCTGACAGCATGCATATGGAGCAACAAGTGAAGCAAAACACTGAAGTATGCCCCCAAGTAGTTTTTTATAAATATGAGTGCAGTAGGGATGTTGATTATCTTTGGCTATTTCTGATGAAAGATGTTGTAATAACACAGGCTTTATAGATAGTTAACAAATGTGCTTTCTTTCTAGCTAACAGACAGCAGTTATTTCACCAGTTACCATCATTAGATTGAAAACTGCTTGTGGGGTGCCTGAAGGTATACAAGCATGTAAGGCTTCATCTTGAAATTCACTTTCGATTTAACCTGTACATTCTGGTTAATGATGTCGTATATGAGAATTGACACTTTTTCAATACAGACAGACCTTGTTTATTACAGCTGTGTTTTTACATATTGCCCGAGCTTTATTATAGAAAATGACATGGTAAAATAACCCTACAGTGCGTGCTTCTGTAATTATGATTTCTTAATATTTATTGCTGTTTTGGCATTTTAAAATAACCTGAACTTTCATAGGATTTAGCTGTTTAATAAAACCAGAAGAGAAGGTCAGTCATATGTTTCAGTCAGTGCAGAATGTTTGTTGGCTTTTCTAAATGAAAATGGATATCTGTTTATCTTTCCTTAAAGGTCAGGGCCTGAACTTTTAGCATATAGATGTAGGGGTTATTGCTGATATTCTAATGCCATTAAGGCTATATAACAGTCTAGCTTAATAGCTCACACAAATTAAGATAGTACAAGACATGACAGTGAGCCTGTGTTTATATATATTGTGGTGTAAGCTGATATGCCGTAAGTGTAAATGCATAAAAATAGTTCTTTACTAACACCCGGAGTGTTAGGGCAAGTTTTTACCCTTGCACCAGGACAATTCTGGAGTGTTTTTCTTTGACTGCAAGGTTTGAGCCAATGCAATTGAGAGAAATTTAATCCAACACTTATAAATAATAAATAACCAATTATACAACAAATGATTCTAAGGCTCAGTCTTTGAGCACTGAGTAACTCACAGCATTTAGCTTGATGCTCGCAAAAGACTGCTTTTCAATTGGGCACTGTATTCCTCAGATTTTGTATGTACTGGTTTTGACATCGTTGTACTAAGACAAGCCTGAAGTAGTCAGTCTTTAAATTAGCTTCAATTTATTTTATTGCCCTTAAGTATAATACTCATTGCATCAGATCATTTCTATCTATAGCTACGTATTTGTCTAGCTAAATCAAATATATAACTCTTGAGGTAAAATGTCAAAACTGAACTCTTGTTTTTGAAGCTGGTCCTAGTTCCACCAAATATTTTGCTACTTTTTGTCTGAAGTATTCAGTGCATCAGGACTTCAGTCCACATCTCCCTGCTTCCAGAGAGTGACTTACCCACCGGCCACGGGAGCTGTTATCACCCCTTCCTTTGTGGCCCAAAGAGTATTTCTCTCTTGCGAAATAGCATAGCTTCAAGCGGAAGGAAGGAGTGACACAACTGGAGGAGACCTTACAGCAGGAAGGCTGTAGGACTCACCCTGTCCGTTACAGAAGGGGCGCAGCAGCTGTGTCCCAGGCGCTGGTGGGTCCCGAGAGGGAGGAGGCACTTTGTGCAGTGCAGCAGAGAAGCGTGGTTAAATTGTAGATCTGAGGTGGATTACAGGACTCATTGCTCATCAGAGTTTCTTATTGGATTGTTGTTTGGCTTGCTGGCCCTTCTGTCATTATTAATGCTCTGTCTACATACAGAGCTGAGCTTAAACACCGCAAGGCCCAGCAGGTGACTGGGCGTTCGGTGTTCTGGTGCGGTGGCACTCGGCCCATGCAGCACCCAGGTTCCTTTCTGCAAGAAGTCATTAAGAGACCCAGACACGATGGCATGGATGGTTTGGGAGTATGCTGATCTAAAATGGCACCGTACTTTCCAAAGAGTAAAGCACATATGTGGACGATTACTTGTTTTACTTGGTTTTAGATAGCAGAGCATACAAGACAGGACCCTGAACTTGTCTGTAAGATATCCTGCATCATGTATCTGAAGTGTACAGATTTACATGCATTTTTCATCATACTCTCCTGTTTTCCCACACAGTTTCTCGAGCCAGACTTTGAACTGACATTTTAAATTTTTATTTAAAATTTCTTTTGAAGTGATATGTTCTCTTAGACTGATTTCAGAGTTCCTGTTCAGATGCAGTAGGGGTGTTTGTCACTTTTGAAATGAAGCATGTAGATTCCTAAATTTCTGAAGTGACCTTGAGAAATAAGTTTCAAAAGTGAAGCAAGTAATTTTGGGCATTATTAGCTGCATCAAGTTTCTTCTTTTCATTTTTTAAAAACACTTCTGATCACTATTTATTAGCAGGCTGTAGCAAAAAATGGAAAAATGTTTGTATTAGGTTGATCAAAATTCTTCTTGAGAGGTCTGAGCTTTGCTTGGAGGAAAAAAAAGGTGTTCCAAATCACTCAGCTACATAAAAATGGACATGTGGCTGCAGAAATTTTATAGACAACTGAGCAGTCAGCCTGCTAAGCAGTCATTTGCATGTACAGTTACCCTGACTACTCAGATACAACTTCTGAAAAAACACAGGGCTTAAACTAGGAGCAGTGAAATAACTGTTCAAGAAGTATCTGAAACGGTCTTAGTTAGTTTAGCGAAGCCCCTGACAATGAGGAGAACATATTTGCTATTTGGTTCTTGCATGAGGTCCAGTCCTTAATAAAAACTGCTTTTTAGCATAAAACAGTAAGATAATTATTTCAGCAATCACCCATCCATACACGAATCTCAAGAAAGGGTCTACTGTGAGAAAGCAGGAACTTGAAATGCTTGGAAGGAGAGCATCTACTCTGATTACTGTCAGAGAGCATTTGGCCCTTCTGCTTAGTTTTATTGTAGTGTTATCTCTCACCTTCTTCTGGATCATTCTGTAAGCTAACACTTTGATTAAGTGGGGATGCTTTATTTGTAAT